GGCGCAGACAATCCAATTCTCACAAACCGATCTTGCCAGCTGGGAACAAATCAGCTCCCACAAAAACCGTATGCGGGAGGAGACGGAAAAACTGTATCAACTTCCGGAATCCGACCCGGAGACGGACACAGAAACTGACGAACCGGAAGTAAACCAACAAAGATAGGAGTAAGAAACTAACTAACATACCCACCCCCCATTCACGAATACCAATTGAATGGGGGTACTACTAAGGCCTAGGTTGAGGAGGATTCCGGATTGTATTTAGTTTTGGGTCAGTTCAATGTCCTCCAAAAACCCTTCCTAAACTGGACGTATGGCCCGACCCGGCTGACAAAAATCCCGGGAGCTGCCTTAACCTTTGACACTGTCATCCACGAACTCCTAGGGTGGATCTACCAGCCGGCGTAAAAACTTCGGATCCAACAAACACAGGTAATGCTGTGATTTGGCGGGATACGCAGGAGAACGGAAAGGGGGTAATATAACCCCGAGAGATCAGTGGATGACAATATATCTGGGGCTTGCCATACGTTCCCATACTCATACTCACTCATACTCAATAATACATAATATGTTACATAACAAAAAAATACTAAATTACCAGTCGTCTTTGTCGTCAGAGCGAATAAGGTCAGACTTGGAGTCTGATTATTTCCCCAAATTTATTATTAAGGGCGCAAGGTCTTCGCAATATAATAACGGTGCGCGCCAGCCTTAACCTATTACCAACTGACACAAAAAATTACTAAGTGAATGGTTTTATTTTCATAATTTCGTAAAAAAACGTTTTAAAACAGAAAACAGATTTGGCCGCGACTATACATATATGTGTATTTTTAATTTATTTTTTATTATTACGGAAGCTACAAAAATTGACTAATAACGTGAAATGGCCGAGTTAAAAAACTTTATTTATATAATTTTAATTAATTAAAGTGGATTTGAAGACAATATCAACTAATTTATATAAGAATTGGTTAGGCATATTTCCAGTTATACCATGATCTTTTTTAGACGAATACTATTCTACATCAAATTTTATAAATATATTTAGGGTGTAACTATATTACTTTACCAAACTATAGTTTATATATATGAACTTTATTTATGAAACAAAACTGTAAAAAAATGTTTAGACATGATATGTCTATTATATTATGTCTAAAATTTAAAAATGACTATGATCATAGAAATATAAAAATGCGCTTCTATTTGGCTCTTGATCAAATTTGTTTAGGTAAAATTTTATTATTATTATTATTATTATTATTATTATTATTATTATTATTATTATTATTATTATTATTATTATTATTATTATTATTATTATTATTATTATTATTATTATTATTATTATTATTATTATTATTATTATTATTATTATAGTTGTAGGCTTTTTAAAAATGTTGTTTTCAAATTTGTAATTAAAAAAAAATGTGTAAAGGAACTTTTTGTTTCATAAATAATTTAGGTAAAGTTTATATTAAAAATAGATAATATACTCTCTAAAAATGAATTAGTCAAAAGTAACTAATTTAATAGTTAATAGTGGCTGCTTTTTCACTTGTGCCATGGTTAACCATGGAATACCATGGTATCCCAATTCTTATGTAAAATTTTCCCCTGAATCAGAAAATACCGTCAAAATTTAACACAGAAACTGACGAACCGGAAGTAAACCAACAAAGATAGGAGTAAGAAACTAACTAACATACCCACCCCCCATTCACGAATACCAATTGAATGGGGGTACTACTAAGGCCTAGGTTGAGGAGGATTCCGGATTGTATTTAGTTTTGGGTCAGTTCAATGTCCTCCAAAAACCCTTCCTAAACTGGACGTATGGCCCGACCCGGCTGACAAAAATCCCGGGAGCTGCCTTAACCTTTGACACTGTCATCCACGAACTCCTAGGGTGGATCTACCAGCCGGCGTAAAAACTTCGGATCCAACAAACACAGGTAATGCTGTGATTTGGCGGGATACGCAGGAGAACGGAAAGGGGGTAATATAACCCCGAGAGATCAGTGGATGACAATATATCTGGGGCTTGCCATACGTTCCCATACTCATACTCACTCATACTCAATAATACATAATATGTTACATAACAAAAAAATACTAAATTACCAGTCGTCTTTGTCGTCAGAGCGAATAAGGTCAGACTTGGAGTCTGATTATTTCCCCAAATTTATTATTAAGGGCGCAAGGTCTTCGCAATATAATAACGGTGCGCGCCAGCCTTAACCTATTACCAACTGACACAAAAAATTACTAAGTGAATGGTTTTATTTTCATAATTTCGTAAAAAAACGTTTTAAAACAGAAAACAGATTTGGCCGCGACTATACATATATGTGTATTTTTAATTTATTTTTTATTATTACGGAAGCTACAAAAATTGACTAATAACGTGAAATGGCCGAGTTAAAAAACTTTATTTATATAATTTTAATTAATTAAAGTGGATTTGAAGACAATATCAACTAATTTATATAAGAATTGGTTAGGCATATTTCCAGTTATACCATGATCTTTTTTAGACGAATACTATTCTACATCAAATTTTATAAATATATTTAGGGTGTAACTATATTACTTTACCAAACTATAGTTTATATATATGAACTTTATTTATGAAACAAAACTGTAAAAAAATGTTTAGACATGATATGTCTATTATATTATGTCTAAAATTTAAAAATGACTATGATCATAGAAATATAAAAATGCGCTTCTATTTGGCTCTTGATCAAATTTGTTTAGGTAAAATTTTATTATTATTATTATTATTATTATTATTATTATTATTATTATTATTATTATTAATATTATTATTATTATTATTATTATTATTATTATTATTATTATTATTATTATTATTATTATTATTATAGTTGTAGGCTTTTTAAAAATGTTGTTTTCAAATTTGTAATTAAAAAAAAATGTGTAAAGGAACTTTTTGTTTCATAAATAATTTAGGTAAAGTTTATATTAAAAATAGATAATATACTCTCTAAAAATGAATTAGTCAAAAGTAACTAATTTAATAGTTAATAGTGGCTGCTTTTTCACTTGTGCCATGGTTAACCATGGAATACCATGGTATCCCAATTCTTATGTAAAATTTTCCCCTGAATCAGAAAATACCGTCAAAATTTAAAAAAGTAGAGCAGTTTTTGAGATATAGTCAATTCCATATTAAATGGAAAATTTACTATATCTCAAAAACTGTTCCACTTTTTTAACTTTTGACGGTATTTTCTGATTCAGGGGAAAATTTTACATAAGAATTGGCTGTTAAATTTTGGGATACCATGGTATTCCATGGTTAACCATGGCACAAGTGAAAAAGCAGCCACTATTAACTATTAAATTAGTTACTTTTGACTAATTCATTTTTAGAGAGTATAAAATATATAATGTTCTTTATTATCGGCCATTTTTTTTATGTTTATTATTATTATTATTATATTATTTTACTCAATTTTCTAAATATTGCCGTAACCCGAAAAATTAAAAAAAAAGGAAATTCTTTGTTTGTCCCGTCCCTTTCCAGTCCCATTCTAATACCTAACCCCTTAATACCAAATTTCAATTCGCTCAGCCGTAAAATACTTAAAAATGGCTAATGCGCCGGGATTAAAACTGAGATGGATTTTCAAAAAATCCTTTCTTAGCGGTTATCCACGTCAAAATTTCAGCTTTTTAGGTCCAGTAGTTTGGTCTGGGCGTTGATAAATCAGGTATGTAATTACATAATATAAACATATTATGTATAAGATATCTAAGAATAAAAAACAACTAGAAAAATACACGAAATCTTTATAATGAATAACACTGTGCAACACAAAAAATTAACTGGGATCAAAGCTGAAAAAATCGAATCTAGGCAACCCCCAAAACAAATCCTTTAAGGGGTTTTACCAGTTTAGCTCGAACAATGGAGAAATATAAAAGCCCCTAGAACTTAAAAAATTTATTATTATTATTATTAATTATTTATTTAAGGTATAACAAAGGGTCGGTTTTCTTTAAAAAAAAAAGTGGGGTGGCTGGGGGTGAATCTGTGAAAAAATAAAAGTTTCAAAATCAACTAAAAATTGCGTCATATAAAATAAAAATCGACGTGTCCGAGCATTTTTCTATAAAATTCATATTTTTTAAGTTCTAGGGGCTTTTATATACTCTCTAAAAATGAATTGGTCAAAAATGACTTATTTAATACTATTAAATTAATAGATATTAGTGGCTGCTTTTTCACTTGTACCATGGTTAACCATGGTATCACAAAATTTAGGTAAAATTGTCCCCTGAATCCGAACATACCGACAAAAATTATAAAAGTGCAGCAGTTTTTGAGATATAGTCAATTATATATTAAATGGAAAATTGAATATATCTCAAAAACTGTTCTACTTTTTTAACTTTTGACGACATTTTCGGATTTAGGGGACAATTTTACATAAGAATTGGCTGTTAAATTTTGGGATACCATGATATCCCATGTTTAACCATGGTACAAGTGAAAAAGCAGCCACTAATAACTATTAAATAAGTCATTTTTGACTAATTCATTTTTAGAGAGTATCTCCATTATTCGAGCTAAACTAGCAAAACCCCTTTAAAGATTAGTTTTGGGGGTTGCATAGATACGATTTTTCCACATTTCATCCCAGTTCAAATTGTAAGGTCAAAATTTGTCGCACAGTGTAATGTAAGAAATAAATACAAATACACATTGCATCGTACTTGTCTATTTTATACTTTCTATTCACTAAATGCAAAAAGAAAAGGTATAATTTACATAAAAATCTATTAAACCTTAGAAGGCTCGTACACTAGCTCTTATTGTAGCAATAAAACATTTATTCAAGTTAAAAATGTCCTTTCATTTTATAATTTGTACTGCAATCGTAATTATAAAACTATATATAGGTAATTACAGTATTCTTGCGCACACAATCAATTGACAGAACCGCCTACAACAAAATTACCTTGGCGGTCTCTTGGAACATTTGGTGCTCCTCTTTCTGGGCCTGTATCTCCTGCACGGTGCAACCCACGTGACTGTGATCTTTCAACATCACCTGCAGCAGATCTTCGAGCCACTGTACCGCTTGATTAGCGTCCTTCTCGTAGCCGTCGATGTGTTTGACCTGTTCGAGCGTTAATTTTTGTAGCTCGACGCTGTCGCTGAATATGTTCTTCCTCGCTGTCGTGGCATCCAATATGTCTCGTATATTGACGATGTCTTCGCTATAATCGACCATTATTTCTCTGCCGAGCGCGTCCTTAACCGGCATAGACAACATATCGGATAGTTTCTCTCCTTCTTTCACCAACTCTCTCTCTATGCCATCTGAAATCGAGTAAAATTCTCGTCATTGCTTGATTGCGGTTAAGCGAAGAAGAAAAACAAGTAAGCTATAGTAAGAAGGAAACTTGATCCACGTAAATGTATCCGATACAATTTATTTAGAGCTTGCTTACTTACGAAGCTTTTAATTTAAATATGTTTTATTACGTTTTTAACTTATTTCAATATACAGAAAAACAAAGAAATTATCAAAAGCATCCAGCTATGTTTACAACATTACCTTGTAATTACTTCCTTAACATTTTATCACCCAAAGCGTGTAAAACTTGCTCTTGTTCTTGTTTTTGTAATTTTGATTGATTTAAATGTAAATATTTCATTTTATTCTAAAAATTAAAATATAAAAACAAACCTTTTTTGGTGAAGTTTATAATCAAAATCTTTATATTATAAATCAAGAATTGCCTTGCTATACTTGTAAAAGTTTGAAAGAAATTAATGTAATTAATGAAAAGTATAAGAATAGTATATTGTGCGACAAGTGGGAGAAAGAGGAGATTCCTTGAGCGTAAAGTTTGCCGCACGAATGTGAAAAAAATAATTTGTCTACAATAAAGAAAATAAAAATCTAGAAATGTTTTTAATTCACCCTTTGATACAAATGTAAATTATATAAGTAACAATATTTGTGTAAATTTTTATTTAAAACAAATTGAAACTCTGACTGCTGTTGGGGCCAGGTTAATATTAAAAATAAGAACTGATTTTTTTTATTTATTTATAACCGACTTGCAACTACCTTTAAAAAAAATTGAAAATCCCAAAATAAGGACCATCCTAATATTAAACTTAACATACATTATACAAGATGTCCCTAAACTAACTTAATTACTTATTTTTGTTGGTATTTTTTTTACTCAAAATATTTCCTATACATCCTAGATTTGTAATATATATTTTTTACAAATAGTCGCATACAAAATTTTATTTAACAACCGTATCTGACAGCTTTCAATTAGTTTAACCTCACTTTTTTCAAAATTTAACTTAAAGTTAACTTCAGCCCGTGGGTGAAATGCTATTTCGCCCACTAGAAGAAGAGGTAAAATTTCGCTCACCGGTTTATGTTGAGAAATCAAATGGGAATGGAATAATAGTCTATTATTATACGAGGGATTATCTCGAGTGTAATACTTTACTTTATCTACTCCAATAAGTTGATAATTAATTATTTTAAAAATAAATAAATTAAATCTTACAACTGTCAAATGGTTAACCTCACTTTTTAAATTTTGGTTCAAATCACAGTGAATATTAAAATCGGCCAATCACTGATGTTTAACAACGTGAGTAATGAGTTCAGTATTCCCGTTGTAAGGCAGGTAATTTACAATATTTATCATTATTCAGGAAAAAAAATCAATATTATGCAATGGGAGTAAATAAAACGGTGTTACTGTCACTAAATGTTTTGTTGCAATACTGTACGAAAAAACTAACATTTAGCCTTTAGATGCAAGATTGAAAACCGCACTTAACGCTTTTGGAATAAAAAACCGACCTGGACTTGAGCGTCTTTCAATTTAAATCCTCAGTATCGTTAAATTCTTATTATTTTGTACATAAAATTAATGAGGCGTTTTTATTATTAATTATATACTTAAAAAGTTTATTAATTCCTTGCTAATGTAACATAATAGGTCGTTATAATAGTACTAGTGCTAATAACAAATTAAACGAATAATAAAAACCACTTACCCAAATTAGCCTGACTTTCTTGCAGTTCTTTTAGTTTATAACCAGCTGACTGAAATTCAATGACTTTATTTCCCATAACTAACGAATCGAAAACTTCGCTAGTTTTATCAAAATACTTGGCGACCAATCTAAAGAACCTCAAGGAGGTGATAAGGATGTTTCTTCGACGTTCCAACCTTAAAGCAAAACTTCTGCACACAAAATCCATGAAGTCTTTCTGTGAAATTATATCTTTTTGTTGTTCTGTTAGCTGGTCTTCATTTGAAAAGCTGTTGATTTTGTGGATTATTTCGGCGTAAGCGCCGTACGTGCTCCAGCACTGAAATTCTATGGATTCGTGTTCCCTTCGTAGTTCTTCAGCTGAAGAAACGTCGTAACCAACTTTGTGTCGCGAGTTCAGTAAATTTTCAGCATGTCCTAATATCCAATTTGTTACCCTAACCACTCCTTCCTCTAAATAACATAAATCTTTGGCATTAATAAATGTTCTTTCCATATTTGACCAGGCTTCCTCAATGGTTTGTTGGTTTTTCCTTATGGTACCCAACACTTCGTCTATCCGTTCTATGGTATCCAAAACGTCTTGTGGAGGGGAAATACTTTCGAAATCTTCGGTTGCAAATTTTCTTGTTCGGATATCGTATTCGATGTTTTGAATTAGTTCACGTCCTAAATAACAGTAACAGATTATTATTTTCTTATAATCTGCCGTTATTTAAATAAAAATTTACTTTGCTTTTATCAATAATAGAATTAATTTAACGCGAATTTCTCGAAGAGCATCTTAAGCACTTACTTTCTTCGCCCGAAGTTATGTATACCGTTAAGTTTATACGGCGAGAACGAATATATGAAAAGCTTAATACAAAAGATGTTTTAGATATGAACACTAAGAAAATATTTTTAGGAATAATAAAAAAGAAAGTAAGAAGACTAATCTTATTAATAAATAATAGGCATAAATATTTATGGTTTTGTTATTATAAAATTACTTTCTTTACTTGAGTTGAATTGATTCTGTAAATGCAGTTTCCTTATTTGTAATTGTGGAACTGGGTCATTATAATATTCCAAAATCAACGGTTCAAAAAAATTATTAACAATTAAAATTTAAGGCAGTTAACGCTAACAAACTGCTTTTAAAAACCTGTTAATTAAAAAAATGTAAGCACATTATTGTTATTTTATGAATTTAAGGCTTCCATTGCATATACTAATATTAATAATTTATAAATTATACACTGCAAAATTTGGTTTGGTTTACAATTTGTTTACAAGCTGTACAAAAAGTAAATAAAATGATTGATTATTAACGAGCATTCGTTTGAAACACGAGCGAAGTGTGCGCGGCAAGAATGCCATAATCGACCATTCTTCATGAGTTTCACTTATTATTTTGTCCCACAAGCAAATAATTAAACACTTTATGGTAGTGTGAACTAACCTTAACAGCATTATTGACAGATGTGTTTTAGTTTCGAGGTTAAGTTTTCTAACATTGTTTTCTATAGTTTCTTATTATTTGCTTTTAAAATTTAATTGTGAATTTAATTAAATATTTGGACAATGTTTAAAAATTTATTTATGTATGTCTCATGTAAAAACTAGCTCTAATTTACTATTTACATTTGTTTTCTTTTCTTCTTATTCATTTTCCACTGTTAAAATAATATTTTCATTATTGTGTGGGACAAAATATTATACAAATAAATTGACATGGCAACTATTTTAATAGTTATTTATGTATCAAGGCAGTAAAGTCGTATTTTTTATCACGAATGTGGAAATTATTTGCAGAGGCGAAAGCCGAGACAAATAACCACGTGAGAGATAAAAATTGACTTTAATACCGAGGTGCATATTAAATTCTATCCTAAATCACATTTAATAATACTAATAATTAATATTGATGATCAAATCAAATGTAATTTGAATGTAGGAAGTGTCTACGTATACTGTTGTTGCGACGGTTATGATATATTTCTAATTAAACTAAATATAATTAATAAAATTAATTAATAAGTTAACTTATTATTTTTATTAAAAAACATTTTATGAAAGGGTCCAATCGACCTCTGACTCGGAGGCTCCGAGACGCTGCTTTTTTTAAATATTATTTAGTTGCTGCTGAGTAGCAGTAGACACATCTTAAAATGTATAAATGTATAACTCGTATAAATCGGCAGTAAAGTTCTACTTTACTGCCGATTTCTTTTACTTTACTGCCGATTGTTGACTACTTTAGTGCCGATTTCGGATAAAGTTTATTTACAAGTGAGATTAATTTAGCCGATTGCAGTTTTTAAATGTTTTTTTCAAGAAAAAAATTGATGGCATGACAGGTCGAAACCTCAAATAAACTGCAGTTTATTTGAGGTTTCGACCTCAAAATGACTTTTTTAAGAAACGAAGATATCTTTATCATTTAAACACTGTGGCAAGGAACTTCATTCTAATCCAAAACTACTATATGCACACTTAATTTTATTTAATGTTGTTGTTTTTATATACAGGGTGTCCCAAAAGTCAACGATATCCTTTGGAGGACTGATAGACCAACTCATGACTAAACAGAAAATCAAAATATGACCTCGTTAGTTTTTGAGATATAGTCATTTTTATGAATTTTGTAAAACTTACACCTTACATCAGTTTTTCGAGTGAGACAGCTACAAAATCTACTATTAATTTAATTTTGAATTGTAATTAATAGCAGTCGTATTCAGGGTTACGCAAATTAATATACCTATAATCTAAGAACATAGAATGTTGTAGTTGTGGCACTCGAAAAACTGATTATGTGTGTCAAGTTTTAGAAAATTCATAAAAATGCCAATATCTTGGTCATGTTTTGATATTCTGATTAGTCATGAGCTGACCTATTGGTCCTTCAAAGGATATCGTAGACTTTTGGGACACCCTGTATAATACATTATATTATTTTAGCTTAAAACCATGCATACAAAAACTTGTTTAAACTTATTTGTTGTTAAAAAAAATCTTCATTCAAATTGTTTGTCAAAAAATTATACACAATTAAATACAAAATTATATTTTGTTTGTTTGATTGATACTGCAAAATGTGGTAAGTACTCGTATATTACTTTTCTAGGTTTGTAAACCTGGAAGTACACAGTATTCAAAACCCATTTAATTTATTAACTTCACCAGGTGAGCTAAATTTTATTTTGCCCACTATTGGGCATTGGAAAAAATTGAGGTTAAACCGGCTTGACAGTTGTCAGATACCAGATAAAATATCAAATAGTCAAAAAGAGAAATCTCATTCCCTTAATAGTCGTACAATATACTATTGTCCTCTTAAAAATTAACTACAAAAGTTAAATACGACATTTTGCAGTATCAACGACGAAATTTGATTTATAAGCACATATTCAATAAAGATCAAAGAAAAAGTGAATAAACTTCAAGTCATTTTATGAAGAAAAGTTATTATAACATTAACGGCTTAAATTTTTTGTACATGGTTTTTCAGAAAGAACTTGGATATTATTTCCAATTTTGGTGTGTATTAATAGAATATACTACTACATATTTTTGTTGGAAAAGTTATTATTTTGGTCCACTAGTAGCGTAACCTCTACTACTACGAAAGCTATGCTTCTTACGCTCATTAAAAAAATAATCACCTTTCACCTGTCAACTGAGACATGTCATATGTCAACTTGACAACATCGCATCATTAGTTGATATTTTGTTGAGTATGGTTTGCCTCTCATTTGTTTTTTAGGTTGACAATAAAAATAGCGCGTTGGTCGGTCGGTCGGTTTTCTGAAATAATTTCCCATGTACAAACCTTAAACCTTCGTTATAAGCATCATATATGAGGACACTAGAATCCAAGGGATACAAGTGACATTTAAAAAAAACTGTAGTTATGTACAGAAAAAGATGGTAAATGGTAAATTTTACTTGGTATCCAAGGGATATAACTGAAATCTAAGCTTAAACATCTTGAAAAACAAAGTCATAAAACTACAAATAATTTTGACTCCAAATTACAAGTGTTTTTTTTACTTTAAACATGATTATCTCAAAACTAAACGAAATGTACTTATACCCCTTGGCTTCTAGGGTCCTCATATGTCCTAAAAATTTCAGCTCTTTTTTAAAGCTATGCTTATAAGCATAGCTTTAAAAAAGAGCTGAAATTTTTAGGACAAAAACGAAAGGTAGAATTTTTATGTAGTATAATAATTACTGATCAGGCTAATCATAGAACCATAGAAAAATTTCAATGGCGTACTGCTATTTTGTAAAAAATGTCAGAAAACAGGTTTGCGGGACGCTACTGGTGAAAAGTTCTAAATAAAATATGTTGTTTTATATATTAAATGATTTTCTTTTTAATAACCTGATAAATCACACCAAACATGTCATTAAGTAACATCCTGTATAAGGTTTTATACAACAAAAAAATAAGATATTCTAATTTTAAAATGCAGTGTATAAAATTAATCTGTTTTATGGTTTTTATTACTTACATAAGGCATGCTGTTAATCCGAAAATTAGGATAAACCGTTCAGGTAGCCGATAAAAAACTAATCTGCGGCAATTTATTGAGGAAATAGGTAAAAAATACGTAATTTATTGCACCTACCCATTTCCGTTGCATTGTGTACCAACATTTTCGCCGAGTCCGCCATATCGGTGCTTGTATTTATGGCATTTTCGACTTGACTAGCTCTTAGGGTTTGACTTTGAAGCAGATATTGATGTAACTCATTAAGATCTTTCAAAGTCGTTTCGACGTCGTTGTAGAATTCCTCCACTTTCTAAGAATAATAAAAACAATTTAAGAACAGTGAAAGAAGTTTTAATCGTTCGTGTGGTCTTATAAATAATGAATAAAGGCAAAAAGTAAAGACCATTAAATAAGTACAGTTAAACACATAAGACTAATTTTTATTAGAGAACTTCCAATAAAGTTTCAATAATATGTACTATCCGGAAATTTTACCACTGTTTAATTGGCCTGCAATATCTAAACATTGATTTATAAAAACGATATTTTTATATAATATTTATATTATACAGGGTGGTCCAAAAGTAATGGGACACAGACCAACAGCAGACTCTTTAAGTCTATACGATCCGATTTATTTGAACTTGCCCCATATAGAAGTTAATAATTACAAATATACAGGGTGTCAAAGTTCTAATTTTGTTTAAGATTTTTTTAGCTTTCAATTAAGCAATTTCGTTGCTTGCTGTTCACATAAAGCGCCAATTTATTTTAGTACCTAAAAGGTACTACCTATACACGGTATAGGGTGCAAGTATCCTTCTAAATAAATAGATAAATCGTCATACTTTACATAAATATATCATCCATTAAACATTTAAACGTTTAAATAAACATAAAAAGACAAAGAACGTATTATTTAATAACTTACCTTGTATTAAATAATACAAGTCTTATACAGTATGCAAATATTTGCAGTATTTGTATAAAAATCATTTCTATCTCTTGTATTCTGTTCATGAATTATATTTACAAATTTTAATTTTTTATATAAATACGATGGCATCATTTTATTTTTATTTTATAAATTAAATAAAGAGTACGGTACACAGTCCATTGGTTTTAGGGAATGCAATATTGCAGCAAAATGAACAATATTGGTATTGCAAGATTTAAGAGGTGTAATCTCGCAAGATCTCGGTATTTTGCGAGATCTCGCAGATTTAAGATTAATAAAAAAATAAATAAGTATAATTATTTGTATTACAACTTTGTTAGGTTATATCGTAAGGGCAAAATAATTAAATAAAACATAAATTAAATAATTTTTTTAGGACTATTCCATTCATTACTTTATGGACAAATCAGATTTCAGAAAACGAGTGTTTTTTTCAGTTTTGCAGCGATAAAACTACTATTTAGGTGACTATTTCCCTCGTCTTAATTTCCACCAATCACAAACGCGCAATTTTGAATAACAAATCGTTTCCAGGTGAAAAAACTGTGTGACAGCACCTGTCAGCAGTTTTTTCGAGTTTACCCGCGGCAAAACTTGACAGCTGTTGTCACCAAAAATTGCAATTTATATTTTAATTGTTAACTGTTACTCATGAAATAGTCTTGTCAAATACCATTCGGGATAAAATTTTTCCTGTGAAAAAAATCGAAAAAACACAATGCTAAGTATTATTTTTTAACAAAATGCATTCGTGCAGGTGCAAAAATCCTCCAGCACTCATGCTTTTTGTTCAAATATTACTTAGCAACGTGTTTTTTCGATTCTTTTTGGAAAAATTAAATGCCCTTATGATATTACTTACGAAAAAATACTTGTTTATACAAGTTGCACCAACCAATGGTTTGCTATTCGAAAAATAATTGTCAATGTTGACGTTTCTAATTTTAAAATAAAAATGTCAAAAAATATTCGTTTTGGCAGTTAATTCTAATTAAAAAAAATATTCGTGAAATAGTCTTGCCAAATACCACTCGTAATAATTTTTTTTTGATTTTTTACTTATGATTTTTCCTTGGAAATTTTGCTGGTCTTAAAAATTAATGCGAAATTTCAAAGAAAAAAACATTCGTATAAAAATAAAATTTTACCACTAGTGGTATATAATATTATATAAGAATAATCATCAAGCTATTGAAGCAAAAAACATAAACATGACTATAGTCATATAGTTATAAAATTATTTATTAAAAAAATTATACAATATTTTAAAAATGACTTCTCAAAAAACCCAAAACACACATGGAATGTGATTTTAGTGCAAGAATAATCTTGCAGAATTAGTGCGAGATCTTGCTATTGTTATACCAAGATTGCATTCTCTAATTGGTTTGCATTCATTAAACTTAGAATTCAGTATTTTTTTTATTTAAAGAGCTAAAACTTAGAATTCAGTATTTTTTTTTATTTAAAGAGCTAAATTGGAATAAAGTCAGCGGTTCTCAAAATATTTAAAAAAAAAAATCTAAAAACCTTTCAAAAGACAAAATCGTTATAGCTTCGTTATTCCTGGGAATTTTGAAAATTGTAATTTTTACATAGAAACATGTTTTTATGTAAAACTGTATGCATACAAATTAATCTAAATTTTCATTTAATTTATTTTCTACTATTTTTTGAGATACCATTACCATCTTTTGTGGTTTGATACTTCGTGGGATTTGTTGATTTTCTTTCTTTCAAACCATGTTAAATTTTAAAATGGCGGCCATATGAAAAACAAAGGTAGTGGTGGTCTCTAAAAAATCACTACTTTCAATATGTGTATAAACGTGTATTTTTACAAGTGAAACTTTTTTAAATTCCTTGTGATGAGGAAGATATAACTATTTTTGATTTTTGAAATGTTTTCAGTTTTTTCAAATTATTTGAGAACCGCTTATTTTTTTTATAATTTTTAAATGCCATTTTAAAAGACTTGTAAATAGCAAATTTTATAAATAAAAAAGATATCCTTACAAAAAATAATAAATCTATGTTAAGTTTAATTTTTTTATTTTTTCGACATCACAAAGTCTTAATATACAAAATTAATCTGTTTCGTTCAAACAACTAAACTGTTCTCTTCAAATACTTAGAAGTTCTCAGGAAACTACACAATTCTGATTTTACTAAAAATTGTCACAAAAACAAAAAAATAGAGGTATGTAATTTATCTTAAGTGTAAGCATATAAAACCAATAAAGAGTAGGTACAAATTACAAAAAAACTAAGATAAATATTTAAAAATATTATATTTCGCAAAGCTCAAAAAATAAGTTGCTCCTATATGTATAGCGTCCAGCGCGCTGCAGCGTTAGAAAATTGTCTTCCAAACATGTTATTTGATGAGAAACCTCCTAGTCTGTAAAGAACCGTTTGGACCCAACCAATAGAAGATTCGACTACTTTCAGATCTTATTTAACTTCACTTTATTCTTTTAACGATTATTATAATTGTAAGTTTTGTTTAACAAATAAAATTATACCATAAAGATAAAATGTGGCATGCCATGCGCCGAGAAGTGTAATTTTATGCTTTGCTCAATTGTAGCCAGAGACAAGGGAGAGAGAGACGAACGATTCCCATATAAACATTGGAAACAATAAATGTGGCGCCCTCGCCGGGGGCTGCGAGAACTAATGCTAAAAAAATTTTGCGCGGTATTTTTAAATATTTAATTTTTGTTTGCTACAAATGAATCGGTGAGATTAAGAACCGTACAAGTCCAAAAAATTTGACAAATTATTTTATAAAGTCAGTTTTATAGTTCAAAAAGCATTTTTGTGAAAATATTTCAACTAAATACTTTATAAAACATAATAATAATATTTTATAAAATAATATAAATCTTCTCACAAAAATTCATTTTAAACTTTGAAATTAATTTTAGAAAATAATTTGTAAAAATAAATATTTTGGACTTGTACTGTTCTTAATCTCACCGATTGAATTACAAAGTAGGATCTTTCGTAGATATCATGTTTAAAAAAATTAAAATAGCATTAAATTAAAATTATTTTATTTACAACATGTAAACCAATAAAAAACAGGAACAAAAATAACATTGAACACAAATAATTTATAGACAAAAATAGAAAGAAAAATAATGTAAAAATATCAAAATATTAATTATATTTAAATATGAAATAAACATACCTACACGAAAATATTTTAAAGCAAAAACTTAATTAACAACACAAAAAACACTCTAAAAACTAATCGAATTGAATAAGAGAAGAAAATTATTTTATCACACATACCTACATATTTTAATTTATTTACTTTGACCTTAAATAATTTCATTTAACAACAATTGATAATCTGCTAAATATAACGAGGTATAATAACTTATCAATAAAACTTATAAACAAAACCACAGAAGCACTTTTAGTATTTACTGACAGCAGACTGACAGACGACAGAAAATGACAGTAAAGAACATAATTGCGCCTTTTCAGTGCAGGGCTGCCAACAAATGTGCAGAAACCAATTTACATTGAAATCTGTGTGCAGCCCTGCGCATCTAAATTGTTGACCGAAATTCCTATTTAAAGAATCGTCTCTCTCTCCCTTGTCTCTGATTGTAGCTCTCCTTAACAAGTCGGCATTCAAACTTTAGGCTCAGCACAAAAAGACTCACTTTTTAGACTTATGACATAAAAAAAAACATATTTTTTCGATTTCCATGTCTGTTAATAATACTTACTGAAAAACTTATTTATTTCCTTTAAAATACCTTGAAAACAAACTCTTTACTGTATTTCTGTAATTTTTACTCCTACTGTGTTTTACTTAACAATATTTATAGCTTGTCACCAAACTGTGTACCTTTCATATAGGTAAAGCGATACTGGAACATGATTTGTACAAAAGTCAATGAAACGCTCTCATACAATTCAGCTATTTTCAATTTATATTCCGATAACAATAAATCTAAAAGCGAATTGGAGCGAATGTACGTAAAAACAAATTCAATTACTTTTCATTGGTCGTGCAACATGTTTGCATGGGTCATTCCACGATACCCACGCAGATTGTTGACTTCTATTATATTTTGATGATATCAACTTTTGTTTATGGTTGTGATTTCATTGTCATAATTATTTTTTTAAATCATTTATTTTTACAATTTTAAAATTAATCATCTACTACACATATTTATTTATTGATTCTTTTTACGGAATTTTGGATAACCTTCACCATTACACTATTCCCCTTTGGTGTTACCCAAACAAAAATCTTTTAACTTTTGTATTAAAAATATACTTAAGCCTAAAAAATTTAGTTACCAGTTTTCTTAAGTATGCTAATAAGTTAGGTTGGTTGACCTTTAATACTCGCTTCATTCATGTTTATGAGCATAATCATCACTAAATAAAGAAACAAACTTCCTAAACGTTTGAGATATAAATATGTATTAGGATGATCTAGGCATAAAGCTTATCGAAATGGAAACTAATATTATATAATTAATGGTGAATAGACTTTACCTACTCAAAGATATTAGTTTGTAAATAATAAAAAATTTCTTCAAGAAATTTTCTATAGGTACCTACTTTCATTTTTTGTTTGCTACAAAATACATATGTAGCTGCTACACTCCGGTCAATTTGACCCTTTTATTATTTTATATTTGAATTACCCTGCCAACTCTAATTTTAAATTTAACCTTAAATATAACACAAATTGCAGGTATAAACGCATAGTTATAGTAGTGCATGTTATCACAATATCTATTGTAGATGTATTATGAAATAAAATATTTACCAAAATGCAAAAATTGCTCCTTAGGTCCTGCCAAGAAAGCATCGCATGGTGGCATTGTTTACCATTAATATGTCCGCTAACAATATTTCAGACGTTAATTTTATGTCCATATCATGTCCGGAGGTCCATGGACTTTTACGGCTAACGTCTTACGTCAACCAATCACAGTGATTAATATGATATATCAAGCATAGCGATTGGTTGACGTAGGACATAAGCCGTAAAGCCGGGTCTACAATTGTTGCAGGGGTCCGATCCCAGGACATAATCATAAAAAAACGTCCCGCGAAGAGCATTCTTTGTCCACAGTGTTGACGTTTTAAATTATTCATAACGTCTCTTTTTAGCACCCCTAGCGATTCCCACGTTTGTTTATCTTTGTTATAATTTTCCTTTTTTAAAAAGAGCAAACTTTCACTAATTTTGTTTCAAGTCAAAGGTATTCTTTTTACTCCATAAATAGCTGGCAATAGTCGTTATTTTTCATTATTAATTACAAGGTAATTTCAGCGAATTTAATATACATTATTATTGAATTATTGAATTATTGATAATTATAATTAGTGGTATATTTTTTTGAATAATTTTGAGAATGACAATGAAAAATTTAAAAATAACCACCAAATAGGAAAAAAAACTAAATAATAATAAAATTATTTAAAAAAAGAGAGCAGAGAGACAGATAGGTTCTGGAGCTCTATGATTGGGTGACATAAGAACCTGCGATAAACGTAGTCGCAAAATTTAAATTTGACCCAACGTGCGACGGGCTTATTTCTTATTTTCGGCCTTCTGCGATAATTGTAGACCGGGCTTAATAAAAACGAGAATGGGAGTGTTAAAGGTGGGAGTTGAAAAATGTTATTAAAGTCATTTGATTCTGAGTAAAAATTGTCGAAAAATTTAATAAATAACATCGAAGGCATTTCTAAAAGTGTTTTTTTTTTACTTTAATGTTTCTTATTTTAAGAGCATTTAGTACAGTCATATTAAATATAAAAATAGTGTTAAAAAGAGTTATTTATAAGAAATATAGGAAAAAATAACAATTTTCCTAAAAGTTTTTTATTTTATTTTAAACTGTCTTACTCAAATTATATAAGATAAGGAAGACATAGGTAAGTAATAGGAGTCATTCCATATGAAATCAAAAAATGGGGTGTGCCGCATGATTTTTAATTTTAATAAAAAAAATTAAGGATAATCCAGAAATGGTAAACCACCAGTTTGTAAAAATTGATAATTTTTAAAAATATTTAACTTTGACCCACAGAAAAACGGATGTGGAGGACAAAATAAAAAAGTGATATTTTCGGAAAATAAATTCTATACGGTGTGCCTAAACGAAGTTTAAGTCACATAAAAATGCCGCTAAAAACTGATTGCAGTTTCTTGTTCGGGACCCTTTGGTGACTTAAAAATGCTATTTACCAAAATCCTATAGGAGCAGCTATAGCTGCTCCTCTTTTCGAAATTTTTTTAAAATTCATATCTTTGACAGAGTACACGTTTGTTCACCGATTTTTATAAAATTGGAGTATATTATTGAGGAGACTTAAAGAATACTTTTTAATACTGTTTACATCATTTGATATATACAGGGTGAGCCAAAAATCGCTTATTTTTAATATATTAAAGCAAAAACGTAAATTCATGATTTCTTAACAGATTTATATCCCCATTTTTTAGATATTTCTACGTTTATCAGGTTACAAAATGGCATTCTTATTAACCTTTTATAAAAAAATATATTTTTAATAAAATTAAATAAAATAACGCTTAGAGAATAGGTTATTAAAATGTTGTTTAATTTGGGCTTTTTAGTAGTTTTCAATTTTGAACGAAATACTGGTTAAAGTTTTTTGATCGGCACTCTTTGGAGATTTAAAAACGATATTTACCAAAATTCTAACTGCATTTTTTTAAATTTGTTAAAAAATATTTTTTTTTAATTATTTGATTATCGCAAAGTCTACCTTTGCCAGAGTACACATTTGTACATCAATTTTTATTGATTGCAGTTTCTTGTTCCGGACCCTTTGGAAACTTTAGAATGATATTTACCAAAATCCTAGCTGCTCCTCTTTTCGAAATTTTTTTGAAAATTTTTTATTTTTTCTTTTTAATTTTTGTTATGCCAAAATCATGAAGTTACGCTTTTGCTTTATTAAAAGATGCGATTTTTGGCTAACCCTAACTATTAAATGATGTGCACAGTATAAAAATCGGTGTACAAATGTGTACTATGTCAAAGGTAGATGTTAAGATAAACAAGAATTTAAAAAAATCATGAATTTTCAAAAAATTTCGAAAAGAGGAGAAGCTAGGATTTTGGTTAATATCATTTTTAAGTCACCAAAGGGTCCCGAACAAGAAACTGCAATCAGTTTTTGGCGGCACACCGTGTCTATCTTCGTTAATTATCTCCAGTTAGTGCTATTCTGTTATTTACCTATAGGTAATTTGCTTAAAGTGACGAAAATCTAAATAAAGGCATTATTCGTATGCATTTTAGAATTAATTATAAATGAATATGTTGCTTGTTTCGACCTTTACTTGATGAAACTCCATATTATTAATATATGAAAAACTTAACTTATTCTGAAGAAGCTACTTGTAGCGAAACAATTGTTAATTTAAAAAAAAAACATAAATAAAATAGTAAAACTTTTAAAAAGAGTTGTTTTTATTCATATATTTATAAATAAATCAACAGTTTATTATAAATTAATTATTATTAATTTTGTACAGCATTGTGTAACATAAAGTTTAGTTTAATACTATTATTCTTGCTTAATTTTAAAAATTATTTATTTAAAATAAAATATAGGAAGTTTGGTACTTGTATTAAATACTTGTTTTTAATATTGCTCTCTTTTTTCAAAAATACAAAACATCGCATTTATTACTAAATTATAACTAAATTATAAAATTTCCTGTTACAAGTACATTTGTATTCGTAAGGTTTCTAAATAAACCAAATATTTTATGAAAATAGATAATTAATTTTGATTTTGATTTATATTAACACTGTTTATTTTGCAAACAGTATTATTATATCCCAATATAATTGCTATAAGGCTAATTAAATAAAGGTCATACCCGTCTGTTCTCAATCCACTTTTCGTGATTATAAACGAAACTGCCGCCAAGTTCGAGAGGGAGCTGCGACTGGTCCACGAACTTGTTCAAGCGGGATCGTGGAATGAAGATAACCTGTAAATGATTCATTAATTATATTACAAGAATCGAGACCTAAATGGAATTTTTTCATAATGCATGTCCAGCTGAATCGGGGGCTTTTTGTGCGCGGTAAATACGGGTTTAATAAAATCGCAAGTACCTACACATAACTCTTTTAATGGGTTTTGTAGAAGCCAATAAAATTAATTTTTTGAATAGCGTATGAAACGTGCTAATGTGCTTGTTGTTAAATGTTATTGCCGTTAAATTATGGCTTGTTTAATGAGTAATTTATTAAACCTCATGTCATACGTGTTCTTTGCCAAAAACTAGGCCATGTTAATACAAACATTTTACAAACAATGGGTTTATTTAAATATTTAAGACATTTAGCGTAGGTTTATAATCCCGCTCATATGGGTGTGTAGATCAACTGTGATTTTCTTCAGACAGAGATAAGGATTAGCATAGCAAATTCATGTTTTAGTCTTACCTAATGGTGTTTGTTTAGACATACGTGCAAATTTACAATGTAATATGTGTGTTTGCTACATTGTCCATTTTACATGGGTAATAATAAAAAAAGAAAAATCAGGCAATTAAAAATACATTATGTATGCGATAATCAGGCTTTCTACAAAATAAACAGTGGAAGTAAAATAAAACATGTTAAATATAAAAATTGTGCAATTATTCTCACTAAACTGTAAGAAACGAATATTTAACAACATAAAACACCAAACACTGATAATTACTTAAACTTAAACTTAAAAGATACAATGCCTAAGAAAAATTAATACGACAAGAAAACTAATATATATACTAGGGAGCTTTTTTATTTTCTAACAGTATTTCTTTACTACCGCCTCAAAATTTTGTTGTAACAATCAAAAAAATAATACCCTTTGCTCTTAATATTAATATTAGGTACTTTACCTTACGCTATAGCGACTCGAAAGATTTCCCATTAAAAATACAAGTAAACTTAATTTTTCTATAAAATTTTCGTTTTTTGCTGTTAGTTCATAAATGACTATTAAATTTTCTTTAAAAAATGTTCAATAGATTGAATCTCTAAGATTATTATTTTTCTAAATATTGAGCTTATATGTTATATGAATTTTATAAGATTAATATATTATATTTCTATAGAGATTCAGTTTAAGAAACTTTGTTGTAGAAAACTTAATTAATTTGCTAAATTAATTTGCTATAACTTTGTTATTTACATTTTTTATATTAGTCTATTCATTAATGGAATAAAAACGAAAAAAAATTGTATACAAAAATTAGGGCTCACCAGTGTGAGTTAAGCTGCAATGGACACTTTTCTGGATCGTTTAACTCTTAGCAAAATGCTTTTTCTAACGAAACGGTAGCATAAAATGCCGCTGAGTTACAAAAATTTGAAAAATCAAATACAAGTTTTCAATGGGAAATGTTTTGAAGCTAAGGAAAAGTACTTAAATTAATATTAAGAGCTGGAACTTACAGGGTATTATTTTTTTTATTGTTACAAGAAAGTTTTAAGGCGGGATTAAAAAAAAAATAATGTTCGAAAATAAAAAAGCCCCCTATATTGTATACATTAAAAAATTTAATTTCATAATCATAAATATATTTGTACCCAAGAGCCAAATTTTAAAATCATACATTTTTTGGCTTATAAACAGGATGGCGTACTGGCTGACTAAGTTTTTGATATATCAAAATCAGATATTTTTTTATTTTTGTTGTACTTTTTTAAGAAAGTTCACAGATTACCTATCTTATAAGATTAGTATTTCAATAAAATTATTATTATTATTATATAAATAAATGTTAAATTCACGGATTTATACACATATCGAAAACGGTTATGTACTCGTTTGGTTTTTCCAAAGTTATTTATTAAAACGAAAACAAATTTTTAACTTTGATCACGATCTTGGGTATTAACTTTTGGATAAGGTAAATTTGAATAAATCGGATCATACCTAATTTTTTTTACCAAAGTTTAACATAATTAAAGTAGGTATAGAAAAATATTTTTAGTTAAAAAAATTAAATAGAAAATAATTTAAACATTATTATTGTCAATAAAGTAAATAAAGGGTAAAACATCGGGTAAAGTCTTTTAACTCCTATAGTCTATTTGGACCAATACAAAAATTCGAACTTTCTTCTTTTAATAAATATTTTTGTAAATGTACGTTTAATGTATCGTCTAACAAATAAAATGATGCTTTGAAGATCAAATGTATGCCATGCTGCTAAGAAGCGCAGAGCCGGCTTAAGGCAATTGAGCGCCTTAGGCACTTAAAAATTTGGCTCCTCTAACTAGATACTATACTTACGGGGCCCGGGGCAAATTTTAAAAAAGCTTATTAGAGCCACCCCAAACTGTTACCTTAAGGGCGCCCGAGGATTATAACCTAACTATTCCCTATGAATTAGAATACTTTTTATCATTAAAAAAATACATAAAAAAACATAAATAACATACAAACATAACAAATATAATGTAAATAAAAAGTGTTAGGACCTATAAGTACATTTTTCTGCAACATGTCATTAGTAAGTATTTAAAAAAAATTAAATCAACTTTAATTTTCTGTATTTGTATGTTAAATGTACTGCTGGTTTATTGTAAATAGTTTAATATTAAAATTTCAGAAATACCTTAAAACAAACAGAAAAATTAACACTATCTAAATGTGGATTTAGCCAGCATTTTGTGTAACGTAATCTAACGTAATTTAATTTAAAAGCCAGGCTAAATCAACCTTAACTATCAAACACAGACTGCTATCACCAAACACACAACACATAGAAGTGCCACTCTTGAATAAACGCGAAAACACTCATGTCCTTCCGGCAGCAGTTTCCTCTAGTATCGCGTACCCGCTGGGGTGAGCAGCACATCACAGCGGGTACCCGATGCAAGAGGAATCCGTGTGCTTGGAGCATACGGGGGTTTTGAAATAGTTTAAAGAGTGCTAAAGATATGTTTATACAGGGTAAAGTTTACAAATTAAATTATCTTTTAAGTTTTTGTTTGCAGTTTAACGTTAAGATTTATTATTATTTGTTAATTATACAGTTAATAATAAAATATCTTATTCTACTTCAAAACGAAGTGCCCTCGTAATCAAGCATGGTGATATAACACCTGATTGATTTTATCTGAAATACATCTATGTATGTATTTGGCATAAAAACAGAAGTGAATTTGCGGCACGCTTTTTTGTCGGCTTTACACCTCGTTATTACAAAGGAAGCTAAATTTTTATAAAATAATAAAAACAGTAAATAATATTCTGTTATTACAATTGTATATTGTTTATTTGTTTTATTTTTAGAAAAAATAAACATTTTGGTAACAATTTTTATTTTTTTTTAAGTTGCTTGGGGACATGCGCCTATTTCTACGTGGCGCCTAAGGCAATTGCCTTGCCTTGCCTGCCTAATGGGTAATATGGCCCTGCCCTGCGCTTCTTAGAAGCGTCTTCGTTCAGCACAAAAAGGCTCACTTCTCAACCTAGTCACATAAATAACTATTTTTTTTACATTTTATTAAAATAACGCAGTTAAATCAAAATACATTTCCGCTATTGGAGAAGAAATTTTTAACCTAAAGATAAAGAGCCCTCTAGACAAACCACAAAAAATAGAATAAGATGTTGGTTACCTATTAAAAATTCTTGTCAAACTTAATAGAATCTTGTACTAAGCCATTTTTAATTGTTTTTTAAAGCTAGAAATGATTTAAAAGAAGTATTGGTAGATCCCTTATTATAAATAACAAGATAAGACGATATACTTTCTTTGATTATGAGTTGTAGGAAAAAAAATCATTTAGTAAATTCATAAAGTAAGAAAATATGGAAAATATTAAATTTCAATGCTTTTGGGTTAAGTTCCAATATCAATTTCTCATGTTCTCTATAAATTTTAAATATTTAAACATTTAAATTTCAAGCCGCCTTATACCTTGGTTTTGCAGGCCTGCTATGGTAAAAACAACCAGTGCTTGTTGTTCCTTTTAGCCACATTTTAGCCATATACCGAGAAGCGATAATTAAATTATTTCTTTCTCTTCTTTTAAACAAATGTTTTACCCTAACACAAGCGAAAGAAAATGAGAGAAAGATTGACTGACGGCACCAAGAAACGCCCGGACGTCGCGACGCGTCGCGTCAAAACAAGATTTATTGTTTAGCCCAGTATCTTCGATGATCAAAGCAAAATGTGATAAAAAAATCTTATTTTTTCCACAATTATGAATTGTGAGTTTTTCTATACGGTATAAATACATATTGCTTGGACAATTTTTTATACAAAAAATTAGGAAGACGAAATTTAGTTGGAATTATATTTGGCAAGATTATTTCCAGAAATGTTTTCATAATTCTAAAATTGCCTTTTAAGTTAAAAGTTTTGGTTTGGCAACTTCTTAATGATATTCCAATTTTTAATTATTTTAAACATGCTATTTAAAGTTTTTCGAAATTATTCACAAAAGATAAAGTTGTGTATATTTGATTCCTCATAAAATTAAGACCAATTTTGATAGTCTGAACTTCAGACTCTGAAGATTTGTTAAATCAACTTTATCAAATGTTAGATCATTTTATACAATTATACAAATGTAAATATCTTAATTTATTGTGGTAGCGTTAGTTTTTACCAGGGATAAATATATGACGCAGACAACATTACCTCAAAATTCTTTTTAAAACAGTTCAAGGAATCGTACAGTAATGTTGCTTATCCAATGATCTAGCCATGCTCCCAAAATGATATCGCAGTAATCGTGCACGAGCAATGTTGCAGGAATATTTTATTTAAACATTACATCGCTTTTCGAATCTGTATGACTGTACAGTAATATTGTTAACAACAATATTTCGAAGGTGATATATAGGTGCACCTTAAGACTGGCGGGAATATTTAATTTTAATATTACCAAAATAATATTTTTCCTTACCTGTTGCAGCAACATTGCTTTAAGAATATGATATCAATGTTTGAATGATAGCATTAGTACAACATTATTTAGCGAAACGTTTTTATGCAATAATACATAGGCTTTATCAAATGTTACATTTTAACATTTTAAAACCCTTACAAAAGCAATATTGCCCCAAACTTGTGTAATGTTGCATGCTGGGTACCGTTTGGTATTTTATTACGTTACGTTGCAATACCATTAAGATTAACGTTAAACATATTTGAGAAACAAGAGGTAAAGTAAAAACTTGTTTCTCATTCGGTTTAAGTTACTTTTATTATACAGGGTATAACATAAATGCAGGGAAATAAAATGATGGATTAGTTAGTAAAAAAAATACAGAAAGTTAATAAAAATATTTTAGCCATTGACTTATTTCATTGGCGTGCATACGGATATTGCTGTAGGGTTTTATAAAGAAAAATTGGTGAGCAACTGAAAGAAAAATTTATTTTTTACTCCCACCTTTAAAACGCCCTTTTTTGTACATGTTTCCATGACACTAAGTAACACATTGACAAGTTGTGGCTTTACGGCGCTTTAGTCACGGGCTGAAGTTAGAAACAGGTTTTTAGTCACGGGCTGAAGTTAGTTTTAAGTTAGTTGACAGTTGTCAAATGTCATACAATCGTTAAAATAAAGTGCCTTTCTTGTAAAATAATACTAAATGTGAAAATTATTTTATTGTCTCAATACAAAAATACAAAAATATTAAATAGTTTCTCAACGCCAATATTTGAAAAGTTTATATAAACATTGTACTGACCTTTTAATTTCGCCGGCAATAAACTATAACTTAAATTTGGGCACGGACTCTACTGTAAAGTCCTCATAAAAAATTTCCTTTACTTTCACTGTGAAAAACTGTCAATTTTTAATATACATGTCGATTTATAACCTTTATAATTGTGTTTAAAAAAGGTGAAAATGTGACATTTGACAGTTTCCCCCATAGATGGCGCTCTATACAAATTTTTGATTTAAATCATTTTAAGATAATAATAAGTATTTGTCATAGAAAAAGTATAGTATGCACCTCGTTTATAAAATTTTCTATACACTCATTAACTTAAGCACTCGCTCGCAAGCTCGCTCGTGCCTAAATTAAATTCGTGTATAAAATGGCGTTTATCAAACTTGATACATAATATACCATTTCGTTTGTAAATAACGGTTTTTCCACAGCCTACACAGGTACCTAAATAACAAGTATGCCATCTAGCAATCTTATAAAATGTCAAAACAGTAGGTACCTAAAATTTAATTTTCTTATCTTTCAGTGTTTGAGTTATTAGTTGAAAATGAAATCTCGTAGAGCATAACTTCACATAAAAAACTGGTATTTTTAACTACAGAATCCAACATTTTGTTTTTCCCAACATTAGTTACACCCTGTATATCCTATTTAAAATAACTTTATTGCGCTATAATGCCAACACAACATTTTTTTTATTTAAAATATATAATTATATAAATTCTACTTACTGGATTGCCCTTTTTATTTGATGTGCAATTTTCGACTCTCTGCTTGTCCCAGAAAGCATCAGGCCTCAGGACAACAAGATGTGCCAATTCTCCACTCTCGAAGACCGTAGTTATTTGTTTTATGCACGATCTAGCCACTTTCCAAGGTCCTTTTCTGGCATCTAGGATTGTTGTAATTCCTCGAGAACGACTAGAATTGCTGTGAAAGATAAAAAGATAAGAACTCTACATATGTTATACCCCATTTGTAATAAACATAATATGTAAATAATTTATGGAAAAATGTGGACTATATTTCTTATGTAAGTAGATCATGACCATGCATATATGTTTTATAAATCTTATATTGAATGATTGCTTTTGCATCAAAACATTTAATTTATTTGTATTCAATTATAATTGATTAAATTGATAATTATCTGAAAGACACATTTAAAAGTCATTTGACAATTCAGTTTCTCCGATTAAAGATAAATAGTTGTGCCACTTTGTCTGGGTTGACGATGGAAAGTATATATTGTATAAATACAGTTTATTACCATCTGAATGATAAATATGACTAGCGTTTTATTACTAACAATAGAAAATTATAATATAGTTGTGTATAGGATTTTAATCGATAGATAAGAAAAAAAGTTTATGTAAACTTCCATGCTTTAAATCATTTTTTCAATATCTTGCTTACTTTTTAAGAAAAAAATTAATTTGTTTTTCTACTCCTACCTTTAAAACGCCCATTATAGTACACGTTTCCATGACACTAAGTGACCTTTTAAATACATATTGACAAGTTGTGATTTGATTTCATTTTAGTCACAGGCTGAAGTTAGCAACAGGTTTTTAGTCACGGGCTGAAGTTAGTTTTAAGATAGTTGACAGTTTTAAAATGTCATACAATCGTTAAAATAAAGTGCCCTTCTTGTAAAATAATACTTAATGTAAAAATTAATAATTATAATAAAATTTATAAATTTTAGAAGTTATTTGTATTTACCATTAAAATGGGTGTTCGATCTATTGCATAGGTCAAAAGTTAGGTTGCCCGATCAGAAGTTAATATTGTTGCTGTAAGCCAAAGTGATGATCCAAACCTATCTATTCACGTGTAATTAATTGTTGTACTAACGCTCTAAATAAAACACCCTCTATAAATAAAACAAATCTTTAAACCAATATGTAATTTTGGCATATACATTTATATCCAATCACTCTAAAAGTAAAGGTGTTTCTTGTCTAGTCTTGGTCTTACAAATAAACTACTGTTCTAATAAATAAAATTGGTATCTATATTTTTTTATAGAAATTGAGTATTTAATATCGTTGGATTTGTCTCAAAAAGAAGAGTTTTACTAAATAAATCTTTAAAAAAATACTGATCGAGATATTGACGAGTTAATTTAGGTAAATTTAATGATGTTGGAAAAAATTGTGTTTATTCTAAGTGGTTATCTACAAATGTTATACCGTATCTACGCGCTTTACAGAATTTTAGGAGGAGTTGCAACTGAAATCATGGTTAAACCTCCGATTCGTGATAAGGTCCTTATAAGGACTTTATCAGGAACTTTCTACAACTTTGTTAGTCAATAAATTTATCTAATCAAGCGCTAGAAACGTGTAGCTACATGTATTCTATAAAAACAAGATTCTAAAGCGTTTAACACAAGTTTAAAACCAATCGAGCACACTTTCGCATTATTTTTTTTTAAAGAATTTCCTATATAAACCAGGTTTAAGATCCCTACAAATTTTTCGTATAAATAAAGAAAGACCTTTAATGTGTATTTGGATCAGTTTACCATAAACAAGCTGGGCTATCTGCCAAGCCGCAGCTGTATAATCTACATTAACACAATTATAACATAAAATACCATATTAAACACTTCAGCATACTTATAATCTATGTATGCCCCTTAGGACCGTATGCCCCAGTTTACCGATAACTGGACTAGAGTTTGTCCAGCGAAAGTTTAACCTTGCGTCATCAATTTAAAATATTTATTATTCGACAAACGTAGAGTCGGACCGGACTCCGACGAGTGTTTTACCTTTCGTCATCAATCTAGAATCAGATGTCTGTGGACCTCATACAAGCCCAGATCCTTATTTTAAAAAACTTATCTGCGTAGATAGTATTTTCTGGATACATATCCACATTCTTTATTTGGATCGGAAAAGTGGGTATTATTCATGTAAATAAAAATAAAATATAATAATGTAGAAACTCTACGTTTTTTGTGCCTCCGCAGAGTTATATCATGCTTAAATACCATAACTGGGTAAATAAGTATTTGAACAGGTTTATATGAGAATCTAAAGCCAAGGAATATACAGATGGAAAGAGCGGGTTCGATTTAGTCTAAAATGGCATTTTTTCAAATACAAAATATCAGTTATTATGACCACTTAGTATAAACGCGTTTTATTTAATTTCTCGGTTCCAACAAAAATTTATACATTTTCCATAGATTCCCATTTTCTTCATCAATATAAGTCTACACTTACTCCTAGACTGTTAATTTAGTTTAAGTAACACTATTATATAAGTCAAACATTATCATCTTCAAGCCTAGTCCAATACTATCAAAATAAGTCAAATAAGAATGATTACTTAAATAATTATGAATTTATGACGTATCAAATACTGAAATGAGATTGGGTGATAAAAATAGTTTACCTAAAAATGGAAAGCAGGTACTGTAGAGGAATAACAATATCCAGAGGTGGAGTTTCTGGTGGGACTGTAACCAATAGGATTGGTCTTCCGTCTTTATCATGTACTCCTGGTAAAGTTACGGTTTTTCCTTGGAGGCATCTTAAGTCTAGGCGAAATTCCATCACCTGAAAATAAAAATGTTTTTTTTTTTAATCAAATCTAATTATAATTCTAAGGTACATTATAGTATAGTATAGTATATATATAATTTACAATATAAAGCCAACTTCAGCCCGTGACCAAAACGCTATAGTCACAGCTCGTCAATGTAGAGTAGATAAAATATAATTTAATATTATTAAGCAAACAAATTTGTTAAGGTTTTTTAACAAACAAATACATTTGATTTTATAATAAATGTTATATTTATAAATTATAATATAAATAATTTTTAATAAAAACATTTTTAATGTTTTAATCATAGTTCTAAAAAAGGAAATTATATATTTAATATTTTTTATTTACTTCCCCATTGATAAGCTGTGACTTTATTGTGTTTTAGTCACGGGCAATAGTGGCTTTCGGCCATTTTAGTCACGTTTTGAAATTAGATTTATTATAAATTGGGAAAAAGTAAAGTTTAATATATTGACAGTTGACAAATGTCAAATGTTTAAAAAGTAAAATTGGCTTTAAATTCTGTTTTATGTTCGTCGTAGATAAAGTATAGTATGTAACCGCCGACGGTGGACTAGTGATTAGTGCTGCTGACTACAAGCCTAGAGGTCGTGGGTTCGAATCCCACCAGGGGTATGGCTGTTTATTTGTGTTTGTCCTATTGCGTATTAGTCCTTCGAAGGGGACTTTAAGCCCGCGGTCCGTTCCTACCCCTAACCCGCTTAAGCCATTCAGTTGGCTTCTGGACTCCTTAGGAAGTAAGGGTGGAACTAATAGAGAACTTTTGTAACTCGTTTTATAAACTTCTCTAGACACTCGCTCGCAAGCTTCGCTCGTGCCTAATAAAACTCGTAACTTAAATGACGTTTATAAAACTTGATACATAATATAATATTAAATCACGACTTCAAAATTATAATCACCATATAACTAATTATACTTAATGATATTTTTTATATATAATATTAATTATTAGCTGACCTCTGAGCAGGTGAGGAGGTTTTTATTTTTATAGGATTTTATTATCATGTTATCCTTTAAAATTATATTAAATTAAATTAAATTTTTAATAATATGTTTAATAGTTTAATTGCAAATAAAGGTAATTGCTAAATTAATATCGCATTACACGCATAACTAAATCACAAATCACTTATATTATAGTAGGTATAGTATACGTGTATAGTAAATTTTACGAGTTTGTTTGGTTTTAAGTATAATTGATTTGCTATCGCATGCTATGGCATGTATACAAATTTTTTCAACTAATTTCCTAGCACGTTCATTACGACATGCTTAGAGTTAGAAAATATTTTGTACTCGTTCATGACATTTGATAAAGTTTAAAACGATTTTTAACGTGGGAAATACTTATTAATGATGAAATTATATTAAAATAGAATTGTAGTATATATCATTTAGATGAAATCAAGGAAACTAAACATTATTTTTAGTATGTTATACCTACACGAAGAACAAAAAAAACAGTAACCATTGATTACAGAACACTAATAAAAAATACAGTACAATGTTAATGTCAATGTCAGTGTCAGTGTATCATTTAAAATCATACAATTTCTACACTGTTAAAAATAATGATAAATTTACTTTTGAAAAGAATAGTAAATATAAAATTACAAATCTTAATTTCGAAAATGATAATTACTAATCTGAATCGGGATATTTACATAATGTAATTGCATTAATAGTATTTTTGTTGTTAATTTACAAGAACACCTTGTAACAAATTTAGAAAAAATACAATACGCTAAAGAAGTATCCACCACGTGACCGTCATCATCGAAACATAACTACATCTTTTAATAAACAGCTGTCAAACGCGTATGTTACAAACGAGTGTTTTTAAGAATAAAGCCGAATTTTTTTTAAAAATATTGAGAAAAAAACTGTCAAACAATTGATTGTGTTGTTGAGTGTTTTTCGAGAGGAAATCCAGGTTTGAGTTTTTACCGGTTTCACAATAAACAATGAGAATCGCAATGAAAAAATAAAGTTTATACAATCCCTGTAAATATAAATTGTACCTATACGATACAATAAATCCATATTTTATTATTCATTTACGTGAAAATTGTAAACATTTAAAATTAGTAAAAATAATAAAACAAATAAGTCTAAATGCAAACAACATTATAAATTATTAAAAGCGTTGATTGAAAAAGTCAACGGTAAAAGACTAAAAACGGGTATTATATTATGTATTATATATAATATTATGTTGCCATGAATTTGTAGATATAAATAGGTACTTATTTTTTTTACTATATCAAAATACAGTTGTCCGCGTTTTTTTCTAAAGGACACAAATATAAAAATGTTTGATTTAAAGTTTATGTTTAAAACTATTAATTTTTGTTAGATTTCTTAGAAATTTACAAACTTAAATATAAATTATGATAGTAAAGTTAATTCTGCCCCAACAAAAATACGTAACGAATTGGATCCTTTGGTAAAACATGAAAATTTAACTTTTAATTAGTTTTTAAATTACATTTACAATTTAAAATACATTAATTCACTATTATCATTTAAATAAAATAAACACACAAACGTAACTATAGTTAAAAAATTAAAGTCGAGTACTTAAACCAAGCAACGTTTTTCAGTTTTTACTTGCAACGCGAAACACAAATGACGTGCGCGGTTAAGCTGCGCAATTGCAATTTTGCGAATAAAATTTGTTCAGTAAGAATTCTTTCTTCCTCTCTTTTGTGAAAAAACTACCTATTTATTTAAAAATGTTCAGTTTGTATGTTTTAAATGTATTGTTGACAAACCTTGTAGTTATTTCAATAACACTATCGAGCGCCACCAGATAGCGCGCGCGTTGCGAAAACACGATGATTCTTTAGCATATACTACTACAGTAATATTTCTTATACAATAAGGCATAAAACTTTCTATTTAAATTTTAAAATTAAGACATGGCTATTATTTTGAATTGTAAATAAGTGAATTCTTGTTCTGCGCACCAATGGTTACTATTTTATTATCTCCCTGTATACAGAGTATTATTAAGGTGTTTCAAAAAGCAATATCTATAACACGAAAATTCTTAAATTATGCCAAATTAAAAATATACTAATTTCAATTTTAGTACATCGAGTTTAAAAATGTCCCATTAAAATAACAGAAAAAATATTATTTCCTGATTCATTACTTTAGTAAAATTACGTGTTTTTGGGCTTAAAAACTAAAACATTGAGCAAAGTTAAATATAAATTTTGTAGTTCATTAATTCTCTGTTTAGTTTATTAGGTTATATAAAAAAATTGGCTACCTAGGTTGCAGGAAGAACTTTTAAGGATATTTTTCAATAGGTACTTAAAAACTCAAAAAGCTGATATTTTAGCTAAATTCTAGTTAGGCAGGTTCAGGGAATTTTCGTATTGGACCAATATATGAATGGAGGTGATTCTACTTCTAAAAATTACTTAAATTATTTAATAGAAAGTTACCTAGGATTCGTTCTAAAAGTTTAGGGTGTATTATTTTGGATCATGTCTTCTTTAGCTACCCATAACTTTTGGATTTAATAATTTTAATTCGTATAAATTTATTTTTCCAGACGGTGTAAAACAACAGTATTTTTGACATTATTTCACTTATACCTATAATACATATATACTATTTTGTATTTATAAAAACAGGTTTAACTTAAATGTAATGTAATAAATTAGGAGGATTTCCTTTATTTTTTTAAATTTTGCTTTATTTCCATAAAACCATTGAGTGAAGAATTAGAAGTCAATGATAAAACGATCAACTAAAATATGTTTAATTTAAAATCATGTTTTTATGAATATATCTTGATAAGGAAGCGTTTTGGGACATATGTAGATATCTAAAGGTAGTTTCATCCTAAATTCAGTAGGTGTTTTATTTTATAATTACTTTTTATCTTAAAATGCATTATATAAAAGATATAGCAAATTATATTAATTAAAAAAAATAGAATGTGCGTTATTTTTTTAATTTCTAAAACTTGATGTTTATAAACATCAATAAAAATTCCATTTTACTGGTTTACGCATGTGACCTTGAGCTTACCGGTAATTATAATCCAGCGATATCCTAAAAATCAGTTACGCAAACACATGGTACACCAAAACCGAATAACCGCTCAACAGGCACGCACATGATACCTTCTTGGGTACCGTCATGGTACTGAGCTGGTGCTGTTCGGTAAAGGTGACCATTCGACCTACCCATCGATGGTATCCGGGCCTGGAGTGTGTCACGGTGGACACGAACAGCCAGTGCCACTTGCTGACTGGCTGCATTGGCTCTGCCACTTCTTCGAAGAGCCGATATTAATTGAAAGATAAACACAACTAGATAGGGTTATGGTTAACATCTTAAGGCTTTCAGACTTATGGTTTATTTTTGATTAGGTGTTTATTTAATGCTTATAACAATTATTTACATAATCTAAATGGCATTTGATACCAAATTAATACCAAATTAAAATTAATTATTACCTAATAACATATAACATACCATTTATTTAATTAAAATGGATGTATTATAATTATAAACCATTGTAAACTTAAAATCATTGACAAAATTGATGTGCCTCGAGCTTAAATTTTTATTGATTACCCTAATATTTTTTCTAATAAACCAACACTTTATATTTTTTTCATTAACGTCTAAACTTTGTAACTTTAAGGGTGCGTTTCACGAAATGTTACAAGAATACATTACAAATAATATATGGATATATATTGCAAGAAATTTGAGTTACCTAGGTAACTAGGTATAACTAGGTATAGCTATATGATGTGAAAAACGTATGTCTTAGTTTATTATACACTTAAAATGAATTTTACAAACTTTAAACCTTTCAAAATATAATTTTATAAAATTGTTCATAATGGTATATTCTGTATGATTTATTATTTAAAAGAATACAAATATTCTGAATAATGTTTTGCCATTAACAAAACTAACACTTTAATACACTGTATTAAAAAAAGGAAAGACAGTAAGATTTATTTGTATAATTATATTTTTATGTTTCTTTAATTTTTTACCAAAAAAAATAATTATTAAAATTTAATTGACTTAATCGCTGCAGCATGCAAATATATTCTTTTTGCAAATATATTCTTTTTTGGTGTACTTAAACATAAGTTAAAACAGTTATGATTCGTTTCCCATAACCTATATGTAAACATTTGACCAGTTTTTGTTGTCTTTACTTCCTATTTCCAATTAATAATATTCTTATAAATAACTTCTAGTAGATAGACGAGTTTAGGAAATACATAATTAATAATATTAAAAAAAAACTTTCAGGGAAAGGATAAGTTTAAGAAATATATTCTGTTTTCCTAATATAACCAATTTTCAATGCAATTTTTTAACACCTTGAATATTGAATTGTGTTGTATAAAATGTTTCTGAACCTACTCTTTTTAGTTACCAAACACATGGTTTAGGGATAGTTTTAAAAGATATATATATATATATATATATATATATATTAGGGTGGGTCAAAAAACCGACTATTTTTTTTTACTTTGTACTCAACTGTTCGTTAAAAAATAACTCTCCTCCTATTCTTGTAGGAAATCGAACGCTCTACAAAAAAGGTCTCCTACAATTTTTTCGTAAACCTCACCGTTAAAAAGATATCGAAGGTTAAAGTTTAATTATTTTAAGAGAAATTTCTGTTTTGCTTATGAATTTTATAACTCGTTTATAAAAAATTTTTATGAATCGCAAAAATTAAATTTAAATTTTTCGAATTATTCATCAAAAACTGTTAAAATTAGTATGCATTTAAGTTTGACGATGAATATCTTTTAAACGCTGCTAGCAACAATAAAAATAAAAAAAAAAACCGACACACTTTACCAAGTTCAGGAACTATCCGACACGGACAATGACAATAATGAACAAGACGAAGACCTCGACTAGGAAACTACACCCCTGCAGCGTAATTACAACTCCCCAACTCCAAATAGTAATCCCAAATGTTTGGAGTAATACTAATCGACTGGTCTAGGGGGATTCCGCGTCGTACTTAGTTTTAAGTCGGCGTAATTGTCCCCCAAAAACCAACACCCTCCCGTCCCTCCTCCATACCCCACTGAGCGTATAGCATAGGCTCGGCGAACCCGGGAATGGCTATTAAAACTATTCGCCTCTCGCTCTCGAGCCCCAAATAGGGGACAGTACGGAACGCAATAGACATTCGCACCCAGCAAACACGGGTGAAGCCGTGCAGTTGCTGGGGAAGAACAAAAATCGGCGTAAGTAAACATAGGCCTGTACGGGGTTCGAGAGTCAAGAGGAAATGGGGCTGATTATACGTCTCTTATACTCATACTCATATACTTAAATTTTTCGAATTATTCATCAAAAACTGTTAAAATTAGTATGCATTTAAGTTTGACGATGAGTATCTTTTAAACGCTTAATTTAATCGACAAATCATAAGATACCATTTTTGTAGAGCAGTTAATTTCCTACAAAAGCATGAGTTGCGCAATTCATAAAAATTTTTTGTAAGCGAGTTATAAAATTCATAAGCAAAACAGAAATTTCTCTTAAAATAATTAAACTTTAACCTTTGATATCTTTTTAACTGTGAGGTTTACGAAAACATTGTAGGAAACCTTTTTTGTAGAGCGTTCCATTTCCTACAAGAATATGTGGAGAGTTATTTTTTAACGAACAGTTATCGAAGAGATATAAATTTTTGTTTCTAATACTGAGGAAAACATGGAAAATTGTAAAGCGGAGGACCTTGTTATCAAAATTAAGAGCTCATGTTTGGTGAGAATTTTCTAGACGTGTTTAGTAACCGATTTTTCAGAGTACAAAGTAAAAAAAATAGTCGGTTTATATATATACCAATCCATAAAATAAGGGCCAATGATTAAAGAGTAGGGTAGATTTTAAAAATATATCTTTAAACTACACCTAAATTAGTATAAAAAGGTACAGTGTAGGTAAATTTCGGAATTTACTGTTTTGCAGACTTAAAAAAAATAGTATTTCTTGAGAGGTGGCTTTTTAAATAATTTTAGGCATTTTTTTCATATACGACCACAAGGGCCGTATCGATTTTTTGTTAAAATTTTTTTTCACAAAATTATTGTTTAGAAGCACTTAAATTAAAAATTATATGTTGTATTATTGCTTTTTTGTACTTCCTCCCTACAACAAAAATAAGAAAATGGACAATTATTAAAGAAACATGTCTTATCAAAATTCTATACAGGTATAGAATTTTGATAAGACATGTAGGTCTACATAAATGTACCTACACAAAAATAAATTATATTAAATATCACACCATTCTGAAATCATCAAATTATAAATAAATTTGGTAATAACCATCAGTACTACTACAACACTTACCGATGTATTTCGTAACTTTAACCCACTTTACTGTATGTCCTAATTTCGGTTTGAAAACCAGTGCTGGCATCTTTTTCTGATACTTCGCACACTCGTTTAATAGATATAAGGAATCCAAATAACAATAATAACAGATTTTTGGTAATATCAAAGTCAGTTGAACTTGTTGATGCGTATTTTTGTGCTGAATCTGGATATATGACGATATAAAAGTCAGTGGAAAATGTTTTGATTGGCTGTAACCCTTGAAAATTAAAAACATGCTTACAAAATTGCCTATTACCTCTGCGAAACTTCCGGTAAAATATTTCCCTTTGTTAAAATAATTACAAACATTACGTTAAAATTCTACTTATTAAAATTAAAAAAGTAAAAAATATCTGATTTTTATAACAATGATTCTAAAAAATAACATTTTTGGGTATCTTATAGATCAAATTGTCTAGATCTGCTTTCATCGATTTAAAAGAAATAGACCTACATGCATTTTGTGTCCTATTATAATTAATAAACAAATTCTTGTGAATTCGCATCTTCAACCTATTAGTTTAATTGTAGGTTGGCGGGCGTACTACGACGCAGAATCAATTTGACGCGTTTCTCGGAAAAACGTCCAAAATTAGCATATTTGGGAAAATGAAAAAAACTCTCCGACATTCCCATTTTTGACCAAAGTACTTTATTGACCTATTTACTACATGTAAAAAAATGTAAGATTCTTTGTCCAGAATTCCTCATGTTTGTATTTTCAAACGAATATGAAAAAAACACAAAAAATACATGAACATGTGAGGTTTTTAGAAGAAAAGAACCAACAATTCTCCTTACTACAAATACTACAAACTAAATACTAACTCTGAGTAACAAAATAAATGAAAAAACTGTATTACTGCCACACTCAGTCTTCGCATCCACTGCTGTTATCATCGTTGTCGACCGTGTTATCAGGACTGTCAGGTGCTATGGTCTTCTGCTCTTTTATCAAGTTATCATAAAATTTTCTATTGCTTTGGTAATGTAAAAGAGGTAGAAGCTTTTCTAGAGTGTCCAAAAACGTCACATGTTGTGTACATGTGACTTTCTTAGACGAAACGTGGAGTGGACTTGTGATGTTTTTAGAAGAACAAGCTAAATTTCATATTTAATTATTATGGAACCTATGACATTTTTACGAGAAACACTTATTTGTATACGTATATATGGAGGTTAGGAAACAGTTGGTGCTAATATCTAAATTTCGACGATATTGGACTAATGATGTTTTTTCCGAGAAACGCCTCATTTATATGTAAAAACTCACTATGTATGAGTTTCGGTTCTCTTACTTATCCCGAAACTGCACAGCATTACCTGTGTTTGTTGGATACGAAGTTTAACGTCTGGTAAATCTTACTTTGAAAGATCGTGGATGACCCCTCCCGGAATTTTGTCGCCGGGCTATACGGGCTAGAAGAATTTGGAAAAAGGAGGGAAAACATTTTGGTTTTTAGGGGACGATAGACTAACTTAAAACTAAGTACAATCCAGAATCCCTAGACCTGGGAGTAAGACCCACATTCAATAAGGGTTCATGAATGGGGCTTTGTAGGTTAATACGCTGTAGGGGCCTAATCGTGCTTCTTGGCACTTCTTGTTCCACTTTTGATTTCTTCGGTGATCTTCAGGAACGCTTAACGCAGGTGGTAACAGCCAAGTACGGGGGTTTACATAACTTTTCCACTAATCCGCATCCGTAATAATTTCGCACCATGGCTACTTCACTTTTGGTTTGAACTGTA